TATTGACAGCTACCTGAAGTTATGCTAGTTCATTGATTTGTTTTACTCTAGTTTTTGACATGTTAGTGCAGGATGCTCAAAAAGCATCAATGTATAATTTTTGTGCACTCCGCCATCAATTGTCTTATTTTTAAGTGTTGTTTCCCCTCAATTCTGAAGGCCATCCTGATCACATTTTGGTAACTTGTTCAGGCTATTTGTCTTAAATGGGTATCACAGCCAAAACAGCTTCTGTCTTCATAACACTTTCCAACAGAGATCACTACGTAGTGATCAGAAATGAGAATGCTTATTTCGGCCCTAGTCCAGGAGCATCGTGGCTGAGTTTCACACACGGTATTGACATTACTGATTGAGCATCGGATGTTACCCATTTTCAGGCACATCTTCAAAAAGATAATAATATAATAATCTTTGCATTTGATATAGCGCATTTCACGTCCTCTAGGCGTCTCAAAGCGCTTCACAGAATATGCTGTAAAGTGAATTGACTGTATATTTGTGGGCAAAATGCGGCAGCCAATTGCGCACAGCAGTGTCCCACAAACAGTCGTGGATTGAAAATTACCAATTTATTATTGTTTTGTTTTGGAGGGATTATTATGAGGCGTGTGGAGTAAGGAAACTTGCCCAAGGTTTCGCCCTGCCTGGAAATGAACTCAGATGTCTCGCTTGCAAGGCGAGTGCTCTAACCACTGAGCTACAGGACTCCAAGAAACTGCCTCTTTAATGGATCCTTCACCAACAGTGAGTGCTTCCATATAGTGTATTTCACTGGCAACGGATCCAAGTTTCTAATTAATATGTGCCCATCCTGATATCAATACCTTTTGCCAGAGTATATACAAAGAAAGAGGAAGAGTTGTGTTGTGTCACGTTTATTCAATAATGTCTAATTAACAATAATTTGAGTTACAAAGTGCAATTTCAGAACAGAGATTAGGAAGATTTTCTTTAGCCTAATTATATACTGGAAAAGGTTGCCAGTAAGGGTGGCTGCAATCAGGACACTAGACTCATTTAAAAAACAGCTTGATATGATGATGAGAAGACAGCAATGTGGGTAGTCCGGAGGGATGAGATCAGATAGGTCAAAGGGCTTTCCTCTGATCTATTCTTGTGTTTTGACTTATGTCTCTGAATTGTGTTTGGAAATTTAACTAGTTTTGGAAGACACTTGTGAAGTTTTTAAAAATGAAACTTAACATTGCTGGAATCAGAAATTAGAATGACTAGTGACTGTGTCGAGGGGAATCTTTATTTCCTTATCTAGTCTTGGCCCATCTATTTGCAGCGATGCAAACCTTCCTGTCTATGAGTCAGACATCGCTGCAGAAGAGTATCCTTAGGAAAAGAAAAGGTTATAAAAGAGCATTTCTCAAAATTAAATTATGTATGAATACTGACAGATTGGCTTGAGGTGACAAATCTTTTTCTCCAGTGATATTGTAGTGTGAAAAGATTGGCCTGTGTTAAATATTCAGGTTAGTTTGGACTAACGTACTTTCAATTTACAGGGATGTGAACAGAGGAGAAACTTGCTTCTCCCTATCCTCTTCCCCAACCCCCTCACACCACTTCACATTATGCTGATTGGAGCTATGTTGCCATTGGGGAGGACAGCAATCTTCTCCACTATAAGGGAGGGGAATCCAACCGAGAACCCCCCCCCCACCCGCCGATTACTCCTCGTCAACTCCTAAAGCAATATTGTCAGAGATCAGGAACAATGCCTTACGAATATAAGTAGAGAAGAAGACCGTTCAGCCCCTCGAGTACAATACAATACCGAAAGTTGTGTTGCTAAGGTTACTTTAGCAACACAACTGGGTGTCTGATCAATGTCAATGTTGCGGTTTTCTTGCAGAATTGACAATCAGACAGAAACTAAGATCATGATTCTTATCAATTGTCCACAGCAAATGAGGTCCTGCCTGCTGCTGCTGCTACAGATGGCAGCAATGATCGTCAACAGTTTGACTCCAGGCCTTTTGTGGAAGAAATGAGGAAGCTGCAGCAGTCCTGGAGGAATAGCAGTCATCCGTGAAACCAAATTATTAACCTCATTGTAGAAAATGCAGAATAAGTATTTCAAAGAGACAGTGGTACACAGAGATTACAATCATGCAGTGAGCTGTCCTGCAGTAATAAGAATATCCACAGTCTGGAATTATGCAGTAAACTAAAAATAGTTTATCAGCACTAAGCTACAACATCTCTGGGATTTCAGTCAGTTAAACACCATACTTAGACCAGGATGTTAGAGGTTCATTCAGATTTTCAACCTTTTAAGTCATCTAAGAAGATTTTAGGAGAAGGCAGATGAGAGAGAGAGAGAGAAGTAAATAGTCTTGTTGGGGTTACATTTAATTGAACTGGGCTTCAACTGAACTGAAGATACAGTCCTGGAATAGTCAGACTGGTCTGCAGTAATTTAGTGCATGTTCATCAGAATGGCAGTCCAATCAAAGAGACTTGTAGACTTTTGACAGGTCCTTAACTTCGTCAAGCAAAGGTCTAATGGCTAAGGCAAGCCAAGACGGACAAGAAGAACTGCAAAACTCATCAGTGCTTCATTTGGATAGTTGGGTGCTTAGCATGATATCAAGGAAATTGAAAAGAATTTTCACCCACAAAATACAGTCAATTCACTTTACAGTACACCCTGAGAAGCGCTTTGAGACGTCTAAGGGACTTGGTAAAGCGCTTTATCAAAAGCAAGGATTATTATTATAGAAAGACCAAACTATTCTTGTGAAATAATTAGCCAGGCAAATTGTGGAAACAATATGCAAAACATCACACTTCTTCCCCCACCAATGCACCACCACACGTGAAGAAGCTGCCAACCTTCATATCCCAATTTTCTTTATATATAAAAAGCAGATGGCATGTGGGTGTATCTTTTCATCTCGCTTCCAACTACAATGAAAGCTTTACATACCAGTTAAGGTTCCTTCTTAAAATAGAGTTGATGACAGTTATGAATTCAACAGTTTAGTACAACACTGAAATTGACATTGCATAGGTTAATGTGAAGAAACTATGGTGAAACTGGATAGTGCACTGGTTGGACTCTGATTGCAGCTGGAATAATGCATAACTTTTGGTGTACAACACAAACTGCCCAAGCCATAGGCAGTGCAGAGAGCAACAAAAGGATGACTTAAAAAGAACGAATAGACAAACCTAGGACTCGAAAATAGATACCTCTATTCGAATTGTAAATTCTGGAATGGTGAGATCAAATGGGAATGAAAGCAAATTTTTTCATTCCAGCGACAAGAATTATGTAAACCCAGCTGTGCCATTCATAAGTAGTCATGATGGCAGTGGAGGGCAATAGCTCATAATGTTCCACCCTCCTAGCTGAACAAGAACTCACTGTGACTAAAGATTACAGGAGATCACCTTCAGAAAAGGTAGAGATTTTATATCTATAATATTTGCATGCGTCCCACACAGTTCAATCTGTTAACTTGGCAGAAGAAGGAAAAGCAAATGTGTTAGGTTTCATTGTTATGTGCTAAGTGTAATGAGTGTCTGAGGATGAGATGCTTATGCAGGACACGATGCTCTGCAATACATCCCACGTGTAACCAGCACAGTGACCTAATAATGTCACAAGTGTAGGCTGGAAAGTTTAGTAATGTTTTGGTTATCGTCATCATAAAAAAAATCAAATTTTAAAATGTGTGGTGACCACAATGAAATTTTTTTTAACAAGTGATAATTCCTTCTCTCTTAACTGGGGTCTCCTTGGAGACAAATTGGCTCCAAGGTGACATGCCTGGCAATGGAATGTCGGAATCAAGCTCTCTGTCGTGGTCTTGGTAGTCCGGTTCCTGAGCCCAGGCAGGTCCGCAGTATTCCAAGGCACTGCTGACGACAGCACAAACAGCCTGGCTCATCAGAAGGGTCAACAGAAAATTGCGGAAATATTTGCCAAAAATTGTGGGGAAATTTGACCAGTTTTGCGGACATTTGTGGAGAAATTTTGCTAATTTTGCAGAAAATAGCGGGAAGTTGATTGGTGCTATTGACAGGTACATTTTACTGCCAACCTACATTTTTCACTTTATTGATGAAAACCAAACATGAAGAGATAACACATATTAGATTGTTGCAAAATAAAATAATGCTTTTTTTAACAAAACTGGGTGGCCCACTCAGGGGGAGGGGGCGGTAAAGGAGAAGGGTGGGGCGGGGAAGGAAACACCAGTGTGACTGCGAGGTTCACCATCTCCTGCCTCTCGGGGCCCTCCACCGCACTCAGACACAGAGAGAGAGACACACACGCACACTCAGACACAAGACACTCAGACAGGCAGAGAGAGAGACACACACACACACTCACAGACACAGAGAGAGACGCTCACAGACACAGAGAGAGACGCTCACAGACACAGAGAGAGACGTGCGCACACACAGAGAGACGCGCACACACACAGAGAGACGCGCGCACAGAGACCCGTGCACACAGACACACGGTGATGGCATTCCACTTGTGTCAGACTCCCAGCTGACCCCAAAAAAACAAAAAAAATTCCTTCTCCCCTAACCTTCTGGAACTCCCTCCCTCCACCACTCCGTCACAACCCCTCCTTTTCTCCCTTTCTATCTCTAAGTCCCACCTCAAAGCCTACCTCGTTGAACGCACCAACGGGCAACTCCCCGTCCTCCCCTCTCCCTTTCTCAGAGTCTATCCACATCCCTGTTAAGCACTCCAAGATATTTTTCTATGTGAAGGACTCTATGTGAATCCAACTTGTTTTAAGCTGTGGCTTAAAAGTACCTCAATTCATGACGTCAGCCATGGAAATATTTATCACAACACATTGCCAAATGTGCATATCCTCTACATCTACATACAAATTACCCTTCTGTCAGTTTAGATTAGACTTTAATATAGTTCATTGTGATTCTCATTTTTCAGCAGAGTTAAGGCAGACAAGCACTATTCTTTTTTTTAATATATACATTGGATAAAAATTACTCACCCTCTGATAAGCGTTCCTTCCAGCCCTGGGCCGCAGAAGTAAAGAATTCATTATTCAGTGCAGAAGTACTCAAACGCATCAAACCATCTGTACCCACCTAACAGAAAAATTCAAACAAACATTAGGATAAGCGTCACAAAAGCAGCGTCTGGCTTCTGCTACAATCCCTACAAAAAGATAACAACATGTACATGTTGCATTTAAATAGGATACAAACAAGATTATGAGCATACAATTTCCTTTTAATTTACATGTGTTAATCACATTTTCAATCCAGTTCTTTCACCCTGTGTTGTTGCTTTCACACATTCTCTTCCTGCCACCATGGCACAGCAAGATAACATTGTGTGTGCCAGCAGGGCTCATATGGGGTCTGGTACCCCACAGTGGAACTCTTCATTGGGTGATTAAAAAGTATTTTAGAATCAACAGTGAGGCCAATTCCACATGTTCTGTGGAAAAGCTTTTTAACATTCCATACTTACCTACATAATACAGTTACTACACTTTACAATGGCTTTACAGCATAAATTACTTGGATGCACAACCTGTCAGAACCTCCACTGCTTTGTCCCACCGTATCTTTGTAACCTCCTTAAACCTGGTTTCTCCGTCCGCTCAGTGAGCACTGGTTACTTCAGAATTCCCTGCCCCACTCTTGGCGGTCAGGCGTTCAGTGTATCTGACCCCACTTGCTGGAACTCCATCCTGAATTCCCTTCAGCTCAATCCTTGCCTTGTTCAAAGTCTGCCTCAAGACCAAGGTCTGCCTCAAGACCAAGGTCTGTCTCCTTGACTGCACTTTCGGTCCCCCTCCCTCAACACTTGAGCCACCCTCCCATCTCAAGTGCAAACCTTAGATTGTGGAGCACCTTGAGACCTCCTCCCAATGTGAAAGGCGCTATATAAATGTAAATCTGTATTGTATTACTGTTGCAATTCCTGTGAAGTGCTTTGAGATTTGGTAGCAACGTGAACCCCTATAACAAATACAACAACAACAACAAAATTATATTTGTATAGCGCCTTTCACGTCAGGAGGACGAGCCATGGATGTCCTCCCGACGTGAAAGGCAACCCGAAATTTAAGGATTATTATTGTTTTTTTAGGCTTATATTCATGTGAACTTTCTCTGTATTTATTGCTTGTGAAACTGTACCATGTGATTATCAAAGGTTCAAAGAGATCTCTGTGGTATGATAGCATGTCATACACTCTTTCACTTCATCATCACATTCTCCATATTTGGTTTAGATATTTCGTCAGTGCAACAATTGCCCAGACTATATCACTAAAGATAGGATCATCTATAATTGTCTCGTAATCGTAATTGCAATCAATGGCCCATCTGATCTCATCCTTCCAGAACATCCATGTATCATCCCCCATCACAGCATCAAGCTACTTTTTAAATAAGTCCTATATCCTAGCCCCAATCACTTTTCCTGATAACCTGTTCCAGTTGTTAATTCCCCTCTGCCTAAAGAAAAATGTCCTGGTATTTGTCCTGAAATTACCCCACAGACCCTCAAAGCAGTTCTTCTCAGGTAATTGCTGTGAAATGTAGCGACTGCTGGAGGTAAACACAGCAGCAAGTTTGCACACAACAAAATCCCACGAACAGCACTCATGTGCTTAAAATGTAACTGCTATTGGTAAATCATAGTTCTGAATCCAGAGACAAGATTCTATGTACATGGGAGCCATGTTAAATTACATTCGGGATTTTCTGACATCATAAATTCTATTGACTTATTTACAACCAGGTTAATATGGAACCTTTTTGAAGTCAGTGTGAGATCCATAACACAGGTTGGTCAAAATGACAGCGGTCTATATCTCTGATTAGAGGGAGTAATTAACGTGTCCATTGAAGCCACCTAGGTCAGAAAATGTATTATCTAGTGCAGAACGTCCTCAATTACATGGCACTGCAACAGCTCCCACATTGATACGTCGTTGTCTACTCCTATATAACCCAGAATCTCTGGACGTCCTCAGTGTGAAAAGCGCTACATAAATAAAAATTTGTATTGTATTATTACTTTACTAGTTTATTCAATCATATTCACTTCGATTTTTTAAGAAAACCTTTCTTCAACCAATCTTAGTTTGTTCATTTTACCCTTAGCATTCTGTGTTTCATCTGTTAGAGGTACACTTAGTTTAGGCATGTCATATGTTATTACAGGTTATGACAAGTAGAGAGTTCTAATTCACTTCATTTTGTAGGTAATCCTCTTAATCCCACTTCCTTTTGGGGGTTTTCTTTTATCTTATGTGCTTTGTATCTGTGAACCCATCAAGCTGTGCGTGCTCTTTCATCTACACTACAGAGAATATAAGGGGGTTGGGACGGCTTTGTTCATTAATTCAAGTTACCTCATCAAGGGGAATTCTGAACCTGAGTGCATCTGTGTGAGCTGCTGCAAAGATGGACAAATCAATTTTTCATATAGCAAGCCTCCAGCTGTCCATAGTATCCAAGAAATTACAGCACAGAACAAGGATCATTCGAACCATCAAACTTATTTAGGCTGGGACGAGTTTCTCCACTCACATGACCCCAGTTACCTGCTTTTCCCTCATAACTTTCTAAATTGGCACATTGGGATGTCCTCCCAATGTGAATGTCACTATAGAAATGAGGTTTGTTGTTGTTGTATGTTGTTTTTCAAATAATTTATTTCCCTTATCCCAATTCAAATTCCCTGCTCTTTCCCCAAGGGTCCTTTTATATTATTCCTCAAATATTTATTCGCTCTGAGACACTACCCTGCGTGGAGGATACTATATAAGTGCAAGTTGTTGCTGCTGTTGTTGTTTATTCAATGTATTTCCTGTCCATTGAGTAACCCTAGTTATGTAAGTAATCAATGTCATTCACAGACCTGTCTGTCCACCTCTGGAAGCAGCAGGAGCAATCGTTGCTGGCAGTCTCCAGGCAAAACCGAGAATGTGTGCTTGTTTATAAGAGCCCGCAAGTTTGTGTTCACAAGTATGGAGTCTGGTGTCTCTACATCAATATCAGTGGCTTTTGACCTTTTCAGCTGCCCTAAAAGTAGATGAGGGAGGCAGAAAGAAAAGAATAATTTGTAATTGTAACTCACTGTTGTAAATCTACAATTTAGTACTGCTCAACAAATGGAAGGGCTTGGAATATAAAACAAGGAACGAGAAATGCAATGAGAAAAATTAAGATCAAACAAGATTAACCTCTTACCGCCTGCATTCACATAAATTGTCATCAGGTTTGCACAGTCCTATTCTACTATTACTTTACATACTTACAATTCTTACATCAGTTTTTATTGAGTAAAAAGCTATCAGTCTTCAAAGAACTTGTAGAAAAGCAATTTCAAAATTAAGACTGTATTCAAGAATTTGCTCAATTCTGGAATGTATCAAATTTCCAAGCATATAAGTTTGACCTTAGAGCTAGGTGGAATTTATTTCCCAATACTTACATCAAAGCTTACCTTTAAAATCAAAGACATCTTATTTCCACATTTTCATAATTTACGATGGAAATTAATTTTGCCCTCCTCAGTCTGAGAGTTGAGGCAGGGAAATGGGGTACTATTGTCAGTAAGAAGTACATCCAAGTGAGGTGCAGCTCAACACGTGTGGCTTTGATCACCTTCTAGTCAGCAGCTTTGTTGTGCGCCAGCAAAAATATTTCCATTTAATACCAACTAACTTAATGTCTCTCTAACGAATCTGCAAATTCACAAGATCACAAAGTTTCAGATGGGAAGAAGGTGATTCAGCCATTTGATCTCTCAATTACTGGGCAGTTTTACATTGTGGGTCTGGGTTCACGTGGAAATGAGTTGATGCTGCTCAAACTCATTACTTATTGAACGCTCGTCTTGGTGCAGCTAGTTAGCGCAGCAGGGAACCCGAAGTAAATTCACCTCAGAATGATGGGATCAAAGTGTTTCAATGGAAGTTGTAAGGATGCAAAGTAAAGTGAGTTTGTTTAGTCTTAACCCCTTGATTGCTGGAAAGTCCGAACACTCCAGTCTCCCTGGTCCAATTGGGTTTATATATTTTCTGCACACACAGTCACTTGAAATAAAACCCTAATATTACAGCAATAAAACAACTGAAACATCAATATAGTTTTACTTTAATTAATTAACCCCGGACAACTAACATAAGTGCAAAAACACAATTTTAAATAAATATGAAAGGCTTCTAAACCTTGAACACTTGTCAAGTTGTCATTTTTATGTCTCTTAAATCAATATACAGTGTTAAGTGTTATAATATCACGCTGTACACTGGTTTAACTGTTTCAAAATCAGAAATCTTCCATGAGTGAACTCTGCCACACAGAAGCTGATCTTTTATTCCTCCTATTGCGAAATTCTGCTCAGTTTCACATCTCATGATGAGACATGTTTGTGTCACACATACTTTAAAATAGTCATGCAGTAGAAAAGGAGTTTAAAACTTGACATTTGTAAGTTACATCCAAAATTCACCCACACGCATTCTGACCTGCACTAAGTTTTGCATGCCCATTGCCCCCACCCTCATCAGGCCACTGGCTCCCAGTGGATTGACTTCAAGATACTCAAATCTCACCTATAGAACTCTACACACCCCTACTCCTCCCTACTGCATGACCTCCAGCCTCACTCTCCTGCTAAACCCCTCTGTTCTGCAAACACAGGCTTGCTGGGTGTTCTATACTCCCTCAGCCACACCTTCAGCTTCTACGCCTCTATCCTCTGAAATTCTCTCCCTAAATCCCCCAGTGTCACTCCCTCTCTGTGCATCTTTAAAAGCCTCCCGAAACCCTAAGTCTTCCCCCACCATCATCGTTTCATGGCTGGCATCATTTTCATAATGTGCATTACCCTACCCTCTGTCACTACCTCCCCCTTGGGCTGCTGAGACTTGAATAAACACATTCATCACATCCAGGCTAGATAACACCAACTCCTCGCTTGCCGAAATACCCACCTCTTCCTTTCATGAGCTGTAAACTATCCACAACTCTGCATCTTGTAGTCCCATAACAGACTTCGGGAGCCTATCCCCCGATCCACTGAGAAATGGCTTTATTGTCTCCCAATTTCTCAGTGGATCGAGATCAAGATCCTTGTCCCAACCTTTAAATCCCTCCGTGGTCTTGTCCAATATCTTGGGGTGTACTCCTGATATGAAAGGTGCTATATAAATGTAAGTTTATATTGTACTGTAAAAGGTTCTATATAAAGAGACAAGCTCTAGCATCTGGATACTTCAGTCATGTAGGAGGTCCCTCTGTAATACCTCAAGGAGTACTTTTATTGCTTACTTGAACAAGAGAATAACTCCCCAATCACCTTAACTAACAATCTCCTCTCTGTACTGTGAAATGTCAGGGACTTGACTAACTGCAGAATTTGCAGGAATCAACATTATTACAGAAAACAAAGCAGTAATTTAATTCTTTTCCAGAATGAAATTGAATTTATAGACAGTAATTAAATTGGATGCATAGTAATTTGAAAAATACAACACTGAACAATGGACTCAATCTCTGTACGGTACATCTTATAGGATACTTCCACCTGGGCAGTGACCCATAATTAAATATCTTCAATTCAAAGTGAGGATCTGATGTTTTGACGTTTTGCGCCCTTTCATTCCTTTCATTCTTAAAATCAATTTCTGGAAGATTAGGCTTGCTGTATTCATGCCACTCTTTGCTCTGGGTTCCTGCCAACCAGCTGAACCACAGCCACAGTTGAGATAAAGCAAGTCATGTGTTCTTGAAACTCACTCCATTGTGAATACCTGAATATCTTCGGAACAAAAGCAGGAAGAGAAATAACTGCTCCTTCTCCCCATTTTTATCATCTCTCCTTTAATTTTAACAAACGCTGGGGTGTATACTGCAGGATGCCAGGCCCAATTCCGGCAGATTCTGAGAGAAAGAGCTGTAAGTATATGTACCAATATGACTTGTATGTATCATGAAGGAATGCTACATGGAAATGTGGGTAGGAGAAATCTGGGCTTTCAGCATCTGATTTTGAAATTTTGGATGTCAGTCTAAAAATTTGTTTTGATTGTCGGAATGATAGATCGATAAATCCCTGATGGTCCTGGAGCTTTATAGTCTATTACTTGTACAAGAAACAGACCCCTGACTTCCAAGTAGGAGAGAAAAATATTTAGGTTTCTCTTTCAAAAATGGATCCATAAAAATAGCTTTTAACAAAAACTATCACCTTGAAGTCTAAATTGTGAGATTTATAAAAGGATTTGTAAGTTGAAATTCTAAATGTTTTTCAAAGTAACTTCATTTGAGTACCAATGTCATTTGTGACTTCCGTGGATTAACTTTTGCGTAGAGATCCAGGTCGTAACATTTCACTGTTTATAAATGAGAGTTTATCGCAGTTTAGAGGCCACTAGTTTAAAATGATTTTTATCAGCTCCGAACATAGGTTTTGAGTCCATTTGACTACACGCACATGTAGCAGTTCTCTGCTTAGTTTCCAGCGGGAGTGCTCACAAAGGACCACCATTTCACACAGCTGGACGACAAAACTAATTTTCTGCCATTTCCATCCTGCTGTGAGCCTCGCTCCCAACGGATGAATGAATAGCAGGACTGCATTGATTAGGGAGTTTATATTCTTTCTAAGCTTCAGGTTTTCCACATCATCAATATGGCAGAGAAGGTTGCTTGTTTCTCCTTGATTCTGCAGATGATTGAAGCAGGGTTTAGGTTGCCAAAAAATCAAAAGAATAAATTAGGATTTTCTTTGATAAAACACCTTTGAATCTATACAATTGAATTCATAGTTGGCCCAAAAATGCAGCAGGCAGATTGTACACTGACACACAAGTAATAGGATGTGAGGGAGCAACTCTTCATGCAGAGGAGACGCCTTGCTATTGGTGGCTGATCAGATGCAGAGTTGAGGCTGAGTACTTGCTCATAGCTAGAGAGGAAAGGAAGTTAAGCTGACAAGCTAAATCACCCTGAGGCCTGTGTTCCAGCACTTCAATACAGAGTAACACAGGCAGGTCTGGGAGCAGAAAGTGGTCTACAACTTTGTGAAGGCTTAAGGGCAGAGAAGTTTCATTTTTCCAAAAAAAATAAGGACTGTGTTAGGCAGCAATATAAAACATGTTGAACTTGCAGGCTCTGACTTGTTTTTATAATGTTAGAAACACAAATGAAACCGGTTCTCAATTTATCTTACCTTCCACTCCCACTCTTTTGCGTTTTGTTAATGTCCTGAACAATGGGGTTTGACCTTTTGCCTCGATTCATCATTAACAAAAACAACCCTCTCTTTCAAATCAAAGGCAAGCTCTTTTTCCTCATCCACAGAAGTTCCTCTTTTTACAGAATGTACAAATGTATACACGTATGCTGATTTTTTAGAAAACGTACTTGCATTGAGTCGCTCAGACCTCTGGGAGGGTTTCCTGGTCAGTGCTGGCAGGATGGGCTCCATTTTACCTGAAGAGGAGGATGTGCTGGAGGTTGAATTCTGAGGACTTGCTGAACGTCCATCTGATTGTTTCGCTTCCCAGCCTGCAGAGACAACACTTCTGTTATTATCAGACCCTCTAATAATCTCTCAAAAAAAAATTGGGTTCCCTCATCCACGACTGTTGGTGAGACACTGCTGTACGCAATTGGCTGCCGCAGTTCACCCACAAAATATACAATCAATTCACTTGACAGTATATTTCTGTGAAGCGCTTTGAGACGTCTCGAAGATGTGATAAGGCGCTATATCAAATGCAAGGATGATTATTATTATTAAAACCTGCGATTTGTACATGCCAAAGGAGAACACTGGTAGAGTTCACAAACTGATTTTAAAACTTTATGCAGGAATAGTTATCTTTCCATCATTTTGTGGGTGGGGAAAATTTTACCTGATCCCTCAAACCGAGGCTCTCTTTTCACTCAAGCAGATCGTGAATTGTGGAAATCTAAATCATTTACCTGCCTTCTCAGCTGAAGGTGGCCGTGTGAGCATGAGCACAAAGAACACAATTTAACATGTGCTGTTCCACTTAACACTGTGTCTATACAGCACACTGAACAGTGATTTGTCACCAAATATGCTGTAAAAACAAGGTGTCACACAGAAGAAATCCACTCGAGCTGTGCTCCTGAAACCATCTGGAGGGGATAGTTCAATAATCGATGCAGTAAAAACATGACAGGTGAAAATTGCAATGGTCTCACTCTCTTTCTATCTATAGATAGAAGTCTATAATGAGATTAAAAAGTAAAAGAGGTTTGGGAATTCTGTAAATGGCCCCAAATTGTTTTTTTCCCCTCACATGCTGGTCCTGATTAAAAGGTAGATGAAGCAGACAGAAACAAAGCAGCTCTCATTCCCCATCGCTATATTGCCCAGAGCAACGTGCAGTCGATTAGCTGCATTACAGTAACATTAGAGAATGTGGAATATAAGTAATTGTTTTTTCATGTTCGTTGCAATGGCACCAATTTGCTCTATTTTATTCAACCTATTTGAATAGTTAGATTTCTCATTTGGGTACAGGGTAAGACTACTCACAGACTGAGGGAAATAAGAGAAGAAACCTTTCTAGCAGATTTAGGTAAGAATTGGAATTTTATTCTCGATGAAATCCGGGTGGGATGTAGCAATTTTTCTTCTGTAAAGATATACATAACAGTACGAACCTCACAAAGCTATTGTACTTTATGATTGCATGGCGCTTGCGGGAAGGCACACATGGTAGGAGCAATGGCATTGCCTTAAGGATAAGAATCAGAACTGTTATTCCCCCCTTCAATTACTTTTGCAAGATCAATCTCACAGCAGAAACCCAAACTATTCAAATCAGTTCATTCAAACCACAATTCCCATTGGAGCTTGAATCCTCAATTCGATGAAAGTGAGAATTTCCTGCATTGTTTAGCCAAATACAACAGTGATGCCCTTTAAATACGATATGGTCGGTGCTTTTTTTGCATATAATAATTGTGCAAGACATTTACAATGCGTCATGTCCCTAATTTATTATGCAGTTAAAACTGATTTTCCATTGCACAACACTTTACAGCTTTGTTATAGTAGTTACTTTATTGCTGCTTTATTAAAACACTAGATTGCAGCAAACACTTAAACTGAATTGTTCAAAACAAGGCACTGAAAATTCACCATAAGTATTTCACCTAAAGAAATACAGTTGCTCATTTTGTTCCATTCCCTTCTCAGATTCCTCTCTCATTTGAGACAAAGGCTTGGATCCAGGAGGCCTCTCCTCAGACATTTTTCCTGCTAACTTCTCTCTCTCACTGTGGGGAAGGAACTAAGCTCCATCTAACACCACCCACCCCCCCCCCACCTCCCCCAACACACATACACCCACAACTTTGGCAGAGTCAGTCCTGGGACTTAGCTGGTTGTGAAACTGTTAAGCGCACATCCTGTGCCGGGTGCTTCAGCACACAGAGGCTTTGAAGGGCTGTGCTTTTCTATCAGAATTCCATCTGTTGGAATCCTGTGACGCTGGAATTGTATTGGGATATAAACACTTTCCTAATTTTCTATTACATAAACGTTTAAACATGTTGCTATTTGATCAAAGCTAACAATACAATGTTAGCTCTGCAGTTCAGAGTTTTAATAAACCATCTTAGTTCTCCAGCATATCCATTATGAACTCCAGTAAGCTCTACACGTCTATTACTTTCACCTTTACCAGGCTTTACTAGCTCCCAAGATCCTTCTCTTAACCTTCAAATCCTTCCATGATCTTGCCACTCCCTCATAAGAATTTGCTGGGAGAAACAAGACCAAGGTCCATCCACTTTGCTTTCCACCATCCTGGCAGTCGCGTGACATGTCATGTCCCAAACTATGTTATATCGTGAGATATTATTTCCGAACAGAAATTTCCCTCCCTTTGCAATCCCTTCCACCTCTATTTTTCTGCCCGTATATCCTCTCTTCAGACTCTGGCCCACTACCACCACCTCATTACATGTAGCCTTCAATCACTCTGCCCCTGCTCTCTGGAACTTTCTCCAAACCCATTTGCTTTGTGCCTTCCTCCCTGATTTCCAAACCCTGTTAAGAATATAACACTCTCAAACTCCTCCTCTATTCCTCTCTGCTTGTGGACCTCCAGGACCCTACCCCGTATGAAGGGCACTATATAAATGGAAGTTGTTGTTGTTGACCTCTTTCACCTGTGAAGATCTCAGAAGTTCATCCCACGTGAGAGTCACTATACAAAGGCACGTTGTACTTTCTGTTTGATTTTTGATTTCATTATTTTTCTGAAGGGCAACTTATTTGTTTGAGGTTCCACTGTTCGGACTGTTCAAATCTCCTGACATTAACCTGACATTGAAAGAAAGCGCTTGAAAATGTTGGGAAATTAACCAACATGATAACGAGATCAAATTTCAACAAGTTTCGAAAGAGTTAATGACAGTTTGCGGCTTTTAAGCAATTGTGCTCAGATATTCTGGGGGAGGCTCACAGATTCCCTCGAACCATCCAACAAGTGGGAAGCAGCACTACCAACCATAACCTGGCATACAATGGGACCTCTGACAGCCTAGATAGGGTGCTAAAATCCACGTAATTATGTGATATAGCGCCTTATCACATCGTTGAGACGTTTCAAAGCGCCTCACAGTACGTAGAAGGAGGCTGAGCCACTGACACTGGTGCCTGGATGTTATGCTAGCTGCCTACGTCTCTTTATGCTCTGTCTTACATCTCCAAAACCCTACTATTCCCATCAAATCTCCTGCACAGGAGCTCTGAACAGTAAAGCTTAGTTTATAGGGTCAATAAACCTTTATTACACATCTGACCACATCATAGGCTCTCTTCAAAACAAAATGTTTCGGCTATATTCATTAGTGAAAAATATAGAAAGAAGATTATTAGTAGATAGATGGAATCTATGGGCATAAATATAATTTGCCATACATATGAAAGTCTCTCAAGGACATTAAACTTGAAGAGACTATTGCAAAGATAGTAAATTGGTGGCAAATTAACCTCAAAGAATAAATAATGCCATTATAACCATCAAAGCCCATATTTCGTAGAAACAATAAAAGATATCCAAGTATGGCATTTGTGGGAGTTTATATTCTTTCAAAGCATCAGATTTTCCACATTATCAATATGGCTGAGAAGGTTGCTTGTTTCTCCTTGAATCTGCCAATTAGGCTGAGAAATATGCCATAGATTCCTGCTCCCTGAGATGTCTTTCTGAGTATAATTTGTTTTTGCGGTTGTTGCTCGGAGTCCTCCTACTGCTCCCCTGCAATGTTGAAAGATGTCATAATTCCCTGGAATTTGGGGCAAGTGCCATTGCTTTGAGCACTCGGCAATTTCACAGGTGTCATTGTGGGAAAGACATTGGTTTCAAGAATTTTACACACTTTGACTGGGTGGAGAGCATCGTTGTATCTACTACCACTAGCTCTTACAGGTCAAAACTGCTTTCTATTCCCAGGCTAAACTTTTTTTAAAAAAAGTAACCCCAAAATGCTGATTTCGACCACTCATCACCTCCTCCGCACACCCTCAAGCACTCTAGATCCTTACATCTAACGCCAATTGTGAAGAGGTCCTGGACTTTGTCTCAAAGCTAGAAAACATCAGCTGGGGTGCCTCTTCCTCCTCCCCGTGTCCCCTAGAACCTCCCCCACCATGCCTTCCACATCACCCAATCCTTGAACTAAGACTTCTACCACTGCCCGCACCCTAAACTTCTTTGCTCCCATTTCTTCTTTCCTCTCCACCATTATCACCAACATGAAGGCCACCACCTACTCCCCATCTCCATCCAGGTGCTGGTCACTCAACTCCGTCTCCTCTGCCATATGCTGGCAGATTCAGTCAACCAGACCCTCTCCTCAGGCTCCAACCCATACTCCCTCAAAACCACTATCATCACTCCCATCCTCAAAAAAAAAACACCCTTGATCACTTTAACATTGCAAACTACCAGCCCATTTTAATTTCACTTGCCTTTGCTTGCTAAAATTCTGGATTGCGTTGTTGGAAATCAACTTGACTCACACCACTCCCTGCTCAAGCCCCTATATTCCGGTTTCCACCCTGTCCACAATACAGAAACAGCGCTTGTGAAAATCAAAAATTACGTTGTCTCTTGCTCGGAACAGGGCTCCCTCTGCCTCCTTGTCCTCTCCCCTGAATTCAACACAGTTGAACATGCCATCATCCTCCACCGCCACTCCTCCTTCACTCACCGCACTTGCCCAGGTTCAAATCCTATTTAACCAATCGGCATCACTTCATCTCCGCAAATGCTTGTTCCTCCCACCCCTGCCCTGTCACCTCCAGCATAACCCAAGGCTCCATCGTTTATCACTGTTCGGAGAGGTTGAGGAGGTCAGAGCCGCAGAAGAGAAGACATTGACGGGAGCCAAAGAGTATGGCTTCCACCTTGTCGACATACATCTGCAGGAAGTTTTCACTCATTCAAGCCTTGATGGCTGACAGACAGACAGGACATCAGTGGACCTGGAGTTGCAGCTGGAGGAGGAGAAGCACATTTGGGTGTCATCCAAATACATGTGGAAGTTGACCCTGTATCTGGATATGACATCGCCAAGAGGGACCATGTAAATAATCAAGCATCAGGTTGCTTTAATTTTAGATGCGGATGCATTATTTTATTCTCCAATTACTGTCATTAACTCTACAAACGGTAAGATGGAATTTTGTGCAACATAATCTACTTGTCCTCTGGGCTCATGGGCTTCGCTGGTTCATTGCAGTAAAACCTCCAACAGGTGCTCTCACCCAAATACTTCACAGTCGGAAATTTAGATTTCCACTTATTCTACNTTTTTTTTAACAGAGAAATACATTTTTGATAGGATTGCTTCGCATTTCTGCCAGTTGATTGGAGCCAGAACACTAGCTCTCAGAGTCGGACATCTTAGAAAGTTTACAGCTAAAAAGGAGAAAATTCCGGCCATTCTGTTTGTTCTTGTGTTACCTCTCACCCCCAAACAACCAGACTAGCTATTCTCATCACTGATCTGTCCCCATGCCTTTACATATCATTTTTCATCAAATACTATATTTATCCAATTCCTTTTCAAATGCAGTGATGGACTCATCTTTAATACCCATTTGTAGCAAAACGTTTTTATAATAACAACCTTAAGTGGAGAGAAAATATTTAGTCTACCACTTTTCCTTCTGTTGATAATCCTCAGTCTTTTTACAGGCAACAATCAATGAAAAGTCTCTCTATTTACCCTATTAAAACTCTTCAACATTTTGAAACCTCCTTGTACACTTCCTGTAAGTGCGGTATCCTTTCCATAATGGATGCAATAATTCAATTGCAGCTTAACCAATGTTTTGCACAAATTTAGCACTACCTTCTTCATATATAATGCCCTTATACAGGGTGACCAAAAAGTCATGATAACTACCCTACTTTAAAAATATATCATCATTTCTATAAGACTTATTAGACATTGTAAGGTATCACGACTTTTTTGGTCACCTTGTATGTGAAACCTACAATCCATTTAATTTTTTATGGCCATATCCACTTGCACTCCAACCTTTAAAGACCTGCAAATCTTTATTCATATGAATACATGAATGTACAGCACTTAAAAGACCATTGCAGCATATCTGACTGCTCCTAAAGTTAAAAGACAATCTACTTAAATTTCACCTCAATCAAATTCTTTGCTAAAATTCTATGCAATTACCTCTTGAATTTGCTGAGGCAACTGTCTCCCTGAGTAATCTATTCCACATTTTCCCCACACTCACTCTGTGTAAAATAGTCAAATTGTCTGATCACCTTCCCTCTTCCGAATCGTGATCAGTATCTACGTCTCTCCTACATGCCTTTGAAAACATTATTATTGACTGTCTTCAGCCAAGCCTTTCAGGAGCTGGTGACAAACAATCGGTTTCTTAGATCATTCTTTAGAAATTCTGATCCTTCCACCCTTTATCATGACCTTTCTTTCTGTTATTGTTAGAAGCATACTCTGCTGTACTCACCCTTGTCACGAATGCAATGCTCTGTAAAACGGAGTTTATCTTGACTTGCTGATATCTATTACCAGTATTATTCTAGGGTATTGTAACTATACCCTGCTCCATTGATTGCAGATGGTATTTATATCAATCTACACACCACACCATTGTTCAGCCAGAGACTGCACTTGCAATCGTCCCACAGCCTACTCAATTGTTCAGAGATTGCACTTGCATCAATTTTACACACTGCTCCATTGTTCAGAGACTACAGCGTATGACACGAGTTCAGTTAATGTACTTCATTTTGCTGCAGTGCCTCTCTAAAATGTACATAAAATATTCAGTTAAAAAAATCTGACATTTATATATTAAAAAAATCTTCTACATTAATTGAACATTTTTTAAAAAAACACATACACACACACACAATATATATTAAAAAAAAAGCTTAGAAAATTCCCTCTTACTGTGCATACCAGTTTTGCAGGCTGTCTGATCTGCAGAGGCCTTTACCGACTTCAGTAACAGTCTGGGGTTTGAAGACACTGGCAAACCCGTCCGACACTGCTTTCTCTGTTGCTGCTGTTTCAAGGCCTGTGGGTTGCAAAAGCATTTTCTGTAGTCAAGTGAGAAATGCCTATTAATAGGAGCAGGCATATAGAAAAGCCATTTAATCACACCAGCTGATTTGCTTTTTTTCCACTGGGACAGTGAAATACCATAAACGTGACAGATTTACAGAAGAGATTCAGCAGACCTCAAGGTTTCCTTAATCATTAAAAAAAACAATATGGCCAAGAAAAATACATTGATGGAAAAATGCCAGCGTAAATTATATTGTAGTATCATAATAATTGATCTGCAGATAATAAACATTTACATGTTCTAGCTTATTAAAAGCTCATACTGTGACCTCTCTAAGGAGTTTATATTTTAGCTTTTTTTAAAATTATACTCAAACAGCCTCAATTTAATTTTTTTATTCTACAGGTGACTAATATTAAACGGTAATGTTCAGCAGAGCTGAATGGCAGACACGTTATTAGGTTTGCTGTAGACAGAAAGCTCTATTGCTTTGGGGAGTTTTAATGCCCTTTACAGAATGCAGCTTTAAAAACAAAATTACTCCTCGAGTGCCCTGCAATTCACATCATTCCCAAATTACAGTATAACAAAATGCAGCATTTGTTAAGATATGTTCCAGATCAGGGACTCTGTATAACTGAAACAGTAAAATGGAAATGATGCCTGTGTCAGCAAGTTCACATTTATTAAGCATTCACTGGAGCACATTCTAGCAGCAGGATTTTTATTTTAAAAATTCAGTGAACACACATAAATTTTTCTCCCCATATCTTTGGATTTGGCCTTTGATGGCCGATTCTAATAGTGTACAGAGCATTTTGGATTAGTACCAATACAATTTACAGTTATATAGCGCCTTTCACATCGGGAGGATGTCTCAAAGCGCTTGAAGTACTATGCCAAAGTCAAGTGGCTCAGAGAGATCCTATTACCTGAACAAAGCGTCTCTTTAGAAAATTATTTTTGCGGCCTCCCTCCCCCACCCTTGCTCCCAAACTATTTCCCTTGATGGCCTATCTGAGCAAGATTGCACATTAGAGGCAATTTGATCACATTTCATTGCACGTTTCTGCTATGACCTTCTATTTACTAGGTTGCAACACTAATTCACACGATTCTCAATAACGGCCAGGACACTGGACTCATTTAACAACAACAACAGCAACAAAATTACATTTGTAAAGCGCCTTTCAGGTTGGGAGGACATTCCAAGGTGCTGGACAGACAGAGTCTTGGACCCGAGCTGGGGGTCGGGATCGGGGAGGGTGGAGGGCGGCGGGGGGGAAGCAGGGAGATTGAAAGCACAGTCGAAGAGGAGGGTCTTGAGATGGGTCTTGAAGTTGGCAAGGGAGGGGATGAGGTGGAGGGACTGCGGGAATGAGTTACAGAGGGTCGGGGCAGAATGCCAGAAGGTCCGCCCGCCAATAGTGAGGCAAGCGAAGCGGGGGACGTGAAGCAGGCCGGAGCCCACTGAACGGAGGGAGCGAGCAGGTTGGTAAGGGGTTAGGAGGTCACAGAGGTAGGGGAGCAAGACCATCGAGGGCTTTGAAGGTGAGGACCAGGATCTTGAACGGTATCCTCTATGTGATGGGATGTAAAAAAGACAACTTGCATGATATTCTCCAAACAGATGCTGTGATGAGAAGACAAACAGTAGGCTGGGTATTTTGGAAGGATGAGATCAAATCAGCTGAAACGCCTTCTTCATCCAAAACCAATCTTATGCGATCTCAATTGAAACCAACAGGAATGTTCTAAACACTGCGTCACTAAGACCCCAATCAACATGTGCTGCGCAGCACTTATGTTAAAAGGGCAGCATCTTCAACAAAACATTTTCGTGAACAAAGCAAATAAAGTTTGCAAACACAACACAATACCTTCATCAAAATATTCTGGACAGCGCTTCCGTTGCACCAACCAGAATGGATGCTAAACATTTTACAGCTATGCACAACAAACTACTACTTTATGATTTTCCTTGTTTTAAAGTTTCTGTCAACTTCCCAATAATAACAACTTGCATTTATATAGCACCTTCCTGCAGGTTAGCATTTCAGAGTGCTCAGATCGTCGACATATCCCCTGACCCCTCCACGCCACCATTCAATTACTGGGGTGGGCAAAGGAGTGGGGTACAAACAAGTCAACAACAAACAATAACAACATGCATTTATATAGCGCCCTTGACAGTCAGAGAGGTGCTAGTGGTGAAGGGAAACACACACCTGCAACAAGAGCAGCTGAAGCCCTGCCCCATTGCCAGCAATGACTCGCATTCAGATGCAATGGTGGTGCCTGAATCCCGAGGTACAGAATTTAGGGAGAAAACAGGAACTTTTTCTTTTGTAAAGGACAATAGTAATTCTGTGTTGATATTGGTACTGGCCAGCTGAACTGCACGGCCTCTTCTGCTCCTGCACAGTCCTGTTGTGTTACTCTTTGAGGAGAATATGATGAGAACAGCCTGAGATTCCGTTTAGAAGACGGACAGTAAAGACAGCGACCATTGAGTCTAGAAAGAGCTTACATAACATTGTGTAGAATATTAAAAGCACCTCCTGCCTTCTAGCAATCCCCATTACAACTATATTAAAAACAAAGCAATTATGTCTGAAAATGCTCTGCTTATTGTGTAAAGTTTATACACAAACAAGAATTGTGAATTTGTGAAATATCCAATTAAAAGAAACAATGACTTATCTGTTTTTACTACACAGACACATTGTTCATTCCCTGCCGTATATCCTCTTTTTACATACGCATAGGAAAGTGGCAGTAAACCAATAACTACCAACACAAGTGTCTCTCCAAGGGCAAGTTTCAGTGAACACATGGGGACCTACAGCTTTCACTTTGTTGGCTTTGATTACGTTATTGAACTGAAATGTAATAGGAGATCGGCTGAAGTACCATCACACATGAGAAAGCGAATTCACTCTGCCTGCCAAATCAAGCTCACTGATCTTCTAAGCATGTAAGACGGGAGAGAATATGTCCAACAACATTAAAAAAAAACAGCCTGTAACTGCTTCATTTTTTAATGACCATTTTTCATTGCTGGAGGACGTATTCTCTGCTCTCTTATAATGCTTAAAATCCTGCAGGATGGGTGCAAACATATTGTCTGGATTGTGTCTGTGTGTCTCTGTGTGTGGGTATGTGTGTGTGCGTGCGCACGTGTGTGTGTCTGAGTGTGGAGGGGGAGGAAGCAGGAGGTGAACGGGGAGGTGATGCTGCAGCAATTTGTTGGCAGATTGTGGAATGTATTCATTGTCAGCAATGATCACCACTCTAGACTGACAATGTAATATTAAATGTCGCTTTAATAGAACAGCAGCAATTGACTAAAACGTTAATAAAGACAACTATTAGGGCTTAATATCTCAAGATTGATTTTTTTTGGCATTAACAATGCACAAGGTCAATTGGGGTTTCTTATATCTTTTCACAGATGCCTCAATTTTGTTTTCAGGAATCTGAAACATATGATGAAAGGTAATCTTTTAAATCTATAGCATTCTCTTACAGGGGCAATACCAAACATTAATGCGTATAGAAACTGCATTCCATGTAACCGTTCTTAAAGCAAGGTGTGCAGGACCTGAGTAAAGAGGTTCATTGAATTTAGATTGACAAAGACTTTGAATTTTTTTAAATATTCAGAAATTTTCAATAGATTCAATAACACTTGCATTCATAGTGAGTGCCCTTCATGCAGTGCCCTGACCAGGGAGAGGTTTGATGTCGAGATTCAAGAGACAATTTTGGGGCATTCTAAAATAGACAGAACACTTTTCCTATCATAAATTGTTGAGGCATGTGCCAATCCTTCCTTCTGAAGCACATTGTTCCTGCTGTTTTGGGATTAGATGCTATGCTCGCTACTTCACCACTTTCATGCTGAAAGCCAATCGTGTCAACAAAGGTTAAGCAGGGTATTAATTGCAGCTAAAATGGTAAATTAGCAGGATTTTATTTGACTGTTGGATATCTTAGCTCATCACCATGGTAATTACCACCTGAAATTGAAGATTATGCTGAACTCAGTGACACACTTATAGACAGGCAGTGCAGTGCATATATGACCATGACCAGAAATGCCCCTTTGAAGTACAAAGTTTTTGAAAAAAAATTAATTAAATAATCCTGGCATTTGATGCAAAACTTATCACTTTATTGAATGTCTTCTTGCACTTCACAGGATTTTACCAGAGTGTAGTAACTCAACTTGTAGGAACACACAGCAACCAATCTGTGCACAGTAATGTCCCAAAACAAGCATAAAATGAATGCTCAATTTTGTCTGGGGAATAATTGGCCAGGATACCAGGAAAAAACTCCCTTCTTCTTTGAAAAGTGTCATACGTCCACCCGAACAGGCAGTTGGTTACCTAAGTTTGACATCTCATTGGAGGGACGGCACCTCTGACAATGCAGTGCTCCCCTAATACTGGACTGGAAGTCAGCTTTGATTGTGAGCACAAAGTCTCGAAACGAGGCTTGAATGCACAACCTTCTGACTCAATGGCAGGAATGCTATCCTCTGAGGCAGGAGTGTTATTTACTGAGCCAGGCCGACATCTGGCCAAGAGTAAAAAAAGCTAAATGCAATACAATTTACATTTACAATCATGGCAACAGTGACATGACCTACATGTAAATAAACATTGCTTCTCCAGTTACATAAGGGGCCTCAATATACAAAATGCTCATTTATTTTTCAGCTCTGTGTGCTATCAAATTCTCAGTTCAATAGTTCGACCTCACTCAACATAGTGTATATTTGCAGAATATTAGTTTGCAACCACAGATTTAATACATGCCAAGTAACACAACAGTCCAACTGAAGCCACACCGGTGATGCAGAATTAGACCCTACTTATGCACCACACATGTCATCAATCAAAACAAATTGCTACTTTAATAAAACAATTCAACAATTTCCAATTAATTTCCCTCTAATTAAAGACCTGGCAATCTGAAATCAAACATTGGGCTACATTTCATCGTAGATTGGGCTAAGCATGTTCAAGCACAAACTGGTACTTTTGATTATGAGTAAAATGCCATTAATAATTTATTAAAATAATTGTGTCTCATATGATTGTGACATGAGCTGAAGAAAAGAGCAACTGCATGATTTCAGCAAGCATTTCTTCAGGCAGAGGATAATTAAAGCCTGAATTTGCTATCTACCAGGAAGGGTGGTAGAGGCAGGAATGCTGGAATGATTTAAGATAGAACTTGATGCTGACAGGAAGACCATGGATATTCTGGAATAATCAATTCAAATTCAAGGACTTTCTTCATCTGTACGTCTCTTGTAAATCAAACTGCAAATGGAGCCTAACTTAACAGTTTTCAAATTTCTCCCAAAACACTAAAAAGTAAAGAATTACATTCTAAGAAACACTAATTCACAATCTTAACAGTGAAATAAATGAAATACTTCTTCAGTTATCCACCACACTATCGCTCATCGTTTGTGCATCCCATGATTGGCTTGGAAAGGAAGTCAACATTTGCCCTTCTTCATAGAAAATAATTTCTTCAATCTGTCCAACAGTTACCCATTACCTTAACAAGTTGTACAAACCTGATCAAACAGAAGCAATGGATTGTTTTGCCACCAACATTGCACCAGTGTAACATCTACAATGGTACACCTTATTTTGAAAGGAAATAAACATCTTTCTGTTTACACTCAGCCAACTAATAGTAAATATATTATTATTTACCAATTCTCAAATATATATATATATATGTATAATTTAAATTTGCCAAGCTTCTATAATTCCCACCAATCATTTAGCAGGGGTACCTCTACCTTTAGATTTAATAGCTGCTCAGACTTGGCACCTGCGCTCATCTTTGCAACAACATACAATTCCATCACTCACTTTACAGATTTGTTCTTGCTTAGATCAAAAGAATTCTGTCTTCCTTTTATCATAGAGACAAATTACCTCCTGAAAGGGGTAATTTGTCTCTTGCAGTAAAAGAACAGTCCTGGTCATGATTTTTGATAAAACAACTCAAACCAAATTTGCTTCCTGCCTATCAGATGAGATTCTGGCCCACTGACACAACAAACTAGATGCCAATTTAAATTAGGTCATGAAAGTTCAAATTAGTGAGTGCAAACACACTTCATGCTGACAAGTAGATTTCATGTTCTGTACCAAAGTAAACAAAAATGGCAACAAACAGAAATAAAAATCCAGCCCTTTACATTTCTCACATATCAATTAAAAAGATTGCTTTTTTGAATCAAGCATTTTTCAAAATGCTATCCTTGTTCAGAGAGAGCTCTGGTGTTTCCTGGAAAAGTCATAAGCTCGAACATTCTCATAGTCTGAGCCTCATTAATAATAATAATATTAATAGCATTTGATATGGGTCTTGACTCATCAAAAAGCAACAAGCATAGCAAATGTATTTGGAAGCAAATTTAGCAGATAATTTACTCACAGCAAAGTCCCATAAAGTGACAGGAGGTGAATTGACCAATTTTTCTGTACAAATATGCCAACACAACAGGATAAATTGCTTTCTCGTTTTGAATTGTGTCATGGGTTCTTTAGCTGGTAAATACAATCTCTGTTTAAGGCTTCATCAAAGGAAAGAATCTCTGACATTGCAGTTATCCTCCAATGTGCTGAACTTGGTTTATCAGCCTAGACTGAGTTTAAGATCATTGTCTCAAAGATTTAAGACTGCGGAAATGTGAGATTTCTTAAATTCAATTTTAATTTGGAAGCCGTTTTTCACCGACGGTTCTTAAGAAAACCTGCTTCCAAATTAAAACTGAACTTAAGAATTTTCCAAAATCTTACATGATCTTAAATTTTAAGTACTTTTGGCTGTAACATCAATGCCACTTCGAGTTAAATATGTAATAGAATGAATAAAACTCATCGAGGCATTGTTACTAAAGACTGGTACATTTTATTCCATACTGATTTATCACAATACACGGATAATAAACCACAAGTAGAATTATGTTGGTTTTTTCAGAAGAGGTTAATGCATTTCGCCCACAAAATATACTGTCAATTCACTTTATAGTATATACTGTGAAGAGCTTTGAGATGTCTCAATAACTTGATATGGCTCTATATCAAATGCAAGGATTATTATTATTATTATTACCTAACTACAGGACAATCAGCTCTTGCTGGTGCTCATCACATCATTTGGTGAGTACTAAACATACTCTGGAGCCTTTTGACTAACAAGTAAAGACGAATAGACAATTATTTCAGTACACAACCTCAGGAAAAGGCTTGACGTTTTTCTACAGAAAAACTTGGAGGGTTATTTGGAACAATTAGAAGACTGACCTGTTTGAGGGCCTTCTTGCTGTGCTTCTGGGATGGAGACATAACCTTATTCTGTGGAATGGAGGGTGAGGGACAGCTTGATTGAGGTGAGACTGGTTGTGATGACAACCTGGATGACACTTGGAAAAAGAAACAGAAAATTACTATTGGAATCACTATTTTTTTAAAAAAATACAAATACAGTGAAGCCTCGAGTGATTAAAAAAAAACGTTATATTTTGACAATTGTTCCGTTCGGTTATTGGGGTCTATTGTATGCTAATTGCCCAAATAAGATATTTTGCTACGTCTTTACAACAGAAATTCCCATCATAACGATACATGGAGATGATCATAATTTTTGTTGATCACCTTGGATTTATATAGCGCCCTCCACGCCGGATGGCATCTCAGAGCGCTTTACAGTAATGGATCCCGGGGCCGAGCCAGGGGGAGGGGGAGAAAGGTGACCAAAGGCGCGGTCGAAAAGAAAGGTCTTTAGCCGAGACCTAAAAATAGAAAGAGAGAGGGCGAGGCGAAGGGAGTGAGGAAGGGAGTTCCAGAGCCTCAGGGCATAGTGGCTGAAGGCATGGCCACTGAGGGTGGAGCGGAGGATTCGGGGGACAAGGAGGAGGCCATACCCGGTGAAGCGAAGGCAATGGGCACCGTTGTGAGGAGAGAGGAGGTCAGAGAGGTAGGGGGGTGCAGAGAAGTGGAGGGATTTGAAGACAAGAGTGAGGATCTTGAAGTCGATCCTCTCTGGGACAGGGAGCCAGTGCAGTCTGGCAAGGACTGGGGTAATCGGGGAGCAGAGTTTGGTGCGGGTAAGAATGCGGGCGGCAGAGTTTTGGATGATCTGGATTTTATGAACGGTAGTGGAGGGAAGACCGGCGAGGAGGGCATTTGAATAGTCCAGCAGAGAGGTGACAAAGGCATGGACCAGGGTTTCAGCGGCTTAGGGGGAGGAAGGATAATTGGGGGTCGAACCTGACACCTAGTTGCGTTCGGGTTCAGAGAGTTTTAGGGGGAGGTCAGGTAGGTGGAGGAGGTGAGAACCATGTGATTTTAGACATTGACGAGAGCCAAAGAGTATGGCTTCCATCTTGTCAACATTTAGCTGAAGGAAATTCGCGCTCATCCAGCTCCTGATGTCTGACAGGCAGGCTGACAGAACATCAGGGGACTGGGGGTCTCAATGTGAGATGGAAAAATAGAGTTGGTTGTCGTCCGTGTACATGTGGAAGTGTACCCCATGTCTGCGGATGACATCCCCAAGAGGGAGCATATAGATTAGGAAGAGGAGGGGCCAAGGATGGATCCTTGGGGTACCCCGCAGGTAACCGGGTGAGAGCGGGAGGAGAAGCCGTTTGTGCAGATTTTTTGTTTGTTTGTTTGTGCACTCGCCTGGTTCGAGTCCTATCTCACGTGAGGTAGGTTCGTGAAGTAGGACTCGAACCAGGCGAGTGCAGTCCCACTGAAGTGAATGACGGAAGAAAGGCGGTGGAGGAGGATGGCGTGATCGACTGTGTCGAAAGCGGCGGAGAGGTCCAGGAGGACAAGGAGGCAGAGGGAGCCCTGGTCACAGATAGAGAGGATGTCATTTGAGACTTTCACAAGCGCAGTCTCTGTACTGCGAGATAGACCTCACACACTGACAATACATGGTATAATTTTCAGCAAATCAACAAGTTGAAGCCACAATACCAATGCACATATAATCGGAACCACAGAGTAACTCGTTCAGTGTCTGCCAAAGTATCCAGAGCCAGCCTTAAAAAAACACAACGCTGAAGTTCAAAAGTCATCGAGCTGCCTCACTAATCCACATAGTGCATAGTTGATCAACTTCCAATACAACCATTAATTCTCCAGGGTTAAAGTATGACAATACCTGGGCTTCCTGGCAGTCACTGCCCTCAATGTCAAGCAGTTTTGGCATGAAAAATTGTTCTCAAATTATCTGGCATCAAAGGCTACAAAGTTTTAAGACAAAAACATCCCTGTTAGGGTGTTTATACGGGGCAATAAACTGGTCATGGGGGGGCGAGGGGGGTAGGAGGAGGTCCAGCAATGAGTTCTTAACACCCTCCAAAGAAGCCAACTCACCACAACAGGCACTGCTCAAATAAACAGGCAACCAAACAGAAAGTACAATGTAAATTTAGGATTTTCTTGCTGTCGCCATCTGATGTGGATTTGTTTTTCTCAAAATGCCTCACCAAAGTTTGAGCAGTGGCCCATAAACATAGCTCTTTGAAGAGCCTAGTCTCAGGTGACATAAAGGTTTTTTTTCTAAAAATGGAACATGGCAGACTGGACTCATTGCCAAGATGTGTTGCAAGACTCACAAAAAATTAATAGACCTACTTGACCTCCAGAGATCAATGCAAATCCTGCAATGAATGTTAAAATAAAAGCAGTTCACATCAACAGAATGTCCAAACAAAAGTAAAAGGTCATAGCCTCCTGGCTGATCATATCTGTCTTTTCAGATGTTGATGGATGGAGCACAATTTTTTTTCAAAAATTCAGAAACCTTTCATGCACTGCCAGGATGCCACATATTGTACCTCTGATTCCTTATTTGTGAAAGCTCAACTAACTATGTGCTGAGGTCACCCACTTTAATCCAGAAAAGAGAGGCAAATGGCAGGGCCAGACACTTTGGAGAATTGAGAGGTTTGATGGGTATGGGAGGGGGAGGAGGGTTGGGGGGGGCGGGGGGAGAAAGAGAGAGAGAGAAAAGAGAAAAAATAGAGAAAGAAGACAATTATTTTTAATAAATGGATTTTTGCCTAATTCACTGTCGCAACCACAGCCATCCAAATAATTTTCTGTAATAACACTATCTCCTGGAGGTTGTATTAAGTAGACAACTCCTAAACTCCAAAGTCAATCTACATATTCATCTCCGCTGTTCAACATTGTCCTACACCCTTGCACAGACATTATCTACACCCCCTCCCCCACATACACTTGGTGCAGATCATTTGTTCAAATCTATCTGCACATCTCTCTATAAAACCAATAATTACCTAATTCCTTTTTGAAGGAGGAAATCCGCACAGCATCACTGCTAGTGTTAGGAATCTATTCCACACATCCACTGCTCATGGGTTATGCATGCAAGTTAAATTACTTCCTCAGTGCAGTAAATACAGTATAAACTATGGCAGGTTTAATACATTTACAGTAACGCTTTCTGCCAGAAAAGCCTCAGATTCATATTTTGCTGTTTTTCTCTTTATAAACAATAAATAACACAATGTTGCCTCACAGTGCTGTACCACCTCATTTAATCATCAGCTCGGAAGACTTCAGAGTTTAGTTGGGAGTCTTTTTTCATGCTATAAATTTCAGTTTCAATAGGGAACTGAAACATAATAAGTATTTGTTTTGATGACTCAAAAGTTTTAAAAAGTAGGCATGCTGGAGTCAGCTCACTTATTTACTTCTCCCTCGTTCACCTGTGGAGACTTATTTTGACTATCCTCCTGGGTGGGGGTAGGGAAGTGGGGTCTCCTTGGAGCTGAACTGGCTCCAAGGGACATGCCTAGCAACGGAATATCGGAATCGAGCCAGCCCTCTGTGGTGGTCTCAGTAGTCCAGTTCCTGAGCACGGTGGGTCAGCAGTATTCCAGAGCACAGCCAGCCTGGTCATCAGCAGGACCTGGAAGGGCAGACCAGTTACTGGGATCAGGGAGTCATCCCACTCAGCCCTAACGGGAGGGTGACTTAGCTGGACAAGCAGCGAAAAGCTTGCTGGACAGCGATATCAATGGCAAGCTAAGAAGTTTTAGCTGGTTAGGCTCCAATAGTACCCCAACACACACTCTGGGGTTCCCAAGCCTTGGCTCTTGCCAATCTGCACCTAATACTTTCCAGAATTAGGAAAGCAGGATGTGTCCCACCAGGGAGAGAGTGCGCATTCCATTCCAATAATCTATCTCTGGGATTTCCATGTGTAGGTGGGATGCATGGAAATCTCAGCTTGGTTTGGATATTCTTAAACATGGTGATGGATTTCCACATGTGTCAGACACCCGGCTGGTTCCACAGGAGCTGGCAACCCCTGGTACCTTGCTTGTGTTCATTCTCCATGCGTTGACAAAAGCTGGAAACTGGTTCATTTACAGACTTTAGAAGTCAGTCCCATTATAAGCTCACAAACATCAGTAAATGGGCTAGGGAAGATGATCGGACAATCTTCTACAACAGTCTGTGGGCTATGATCCCAGAGCCCATTACAGCTAAACTGGTTTCGGATAAGTGCACTTTTGCAGAACATTCACAAGGATCAAGAACCCAGTCTGATTTCTCTTCCCTATTATATCACTGTAGTGGCCCCAATGACATTCTGGATGAGATTGATTAACTTGACACTGACCAGTTGAACACACTTGGGACCTGCCTGATTTGTGTCTCGGGTATCACTTCACAACATTTATCCATTGAGGCTTCAGTGTAACGGCAGCCTCATCAAGGCCAGTGACAGCATTTGACTAATGGCAATGAACGTTAGGACTGAGTGTGAGAGAATGAACTGATAAATACTAATTCCCTCAGTGGGATAGGGCTGAGGATCTGAGAGAACATTTTGTTAGATGCTACAGTCTCCTCAGATTGGGATCAATTAAAAGTTTTGAACATAAGAAAGCAGTAGATGAAGAAGTGAACCATCATTATAACAGCTGTCAAGAGCTACGCACGTTGTTCATGTAATGCAACATGAAAAGGCTAGGAACAGGGATCCAGGAGCAACTGGACGCTTTATAATGAGTATAATCATACATAAAAAAAGGCAATTTCCATTTTATTCAGAAAACACTCTTAAGATGTCATATATGGTTTCACTCTTTCCTCTAATTCAAACTTCACAGCATTCAGCTCTCCAGAGAGCCTAAATATCAGTGTTATGCCTGAATGAATCCACTGCAATCCCTTTGAAATTAATATTAACTTCCGTCAAGGACACTGGACATGCTGGTAGCTCAGTGACACCCTCCCTTACCAGATCTGCACACTGAAGGCTTTCTCAGGCAGTAACAGCCTTTTTGATGGACTCATTCAAAATATGCGTCTTATAAACCAATCTTCTTGAAACAATTTAGTCATATTTTTAAGCACACTTAAAAAAAAC